GCCTCTCACTGTTGTGGCCCCTCCCGTTGCGGAGCACAGGCTCCGACGCGCAGGCTCAGCGACCATGGCTCACGGGCCCAGCCGCTCCGCGGCATGTGGGATCTTCCCGGACCGGGGCACGAACCCGCGTCCCCTGCATCGGTAGGCAGACTCGCAACCACTGCGCCACCAGGGAAGCCCAATGGTTTTTAAACATTCAAAGAAAAATAATTTTTCAAGACACTTTAAAATGACAAAATGCAAATGTCAGTGCCCATAAATAAAGTTCTACGGAGCACAGCCATGCTCATTTGTGTACATACTGTTTATGGCTGCACTGGGGCTACAGCTGCAGATTGAATAGTTGTGACAGAGACCCTATAGCCCTCAAAGCCTAAAATATTTACTACTTGGCTCTGTACGTAGACAGTTTGCAGACTCCCGGTCTTCTATAAGCCAGATACTGTTCCAGGGCTTTCACACCGTGTCTCTTTTACTTTTCTCAAAACCTTTAGTGGTATATTAGGTTATAGAGACATGGAGAAAATATCTAGCTGATGGAGAAAAATAACGTTTTATTTGTAAAATATTCAAATTATTTAGGCAAAGGTAATGTTACTTTTTCTTTTTCTTCTTTTTAAGGATTGTACCCTTTCCCTCCTTAAACTCTGCTATTCATTCCAAATGCTCATAGTACTAAAGCTAAATTTCCAGAACATAAGGCCCTTTGCAAATGCAACCTTTTAGTCACATTGCATCACTCTTTTCCCCACCCTTCACCACTGAATTTCTCACTGTTCTCCCATTTTGTTCAGACACAAGCTGAAAGTGACACATTCAAGATATTTAATTTTCACTTCATTTAGGTCCTTTGTCCACCTTTCCTTTCTATGCTTTTCTTCACTTTACTTTCTTCATCGAATTGTCTACCATTACGAAATATAAAAGAAATGAAGGAGGGAAACTGCAAAACACACAAGGGTTTCGTTTGGGGAGGTAAACCTCTTATCACTCTGGTCAGCCTAATTGGTCAAATCCTCGAGGGTAGGGCCGATTTTTTCTTAACGGTATCCAACATCTATGAGAGGTTCAGTGAGTGGCCATTCAGACATTAATTCTCCCCCTCCCCCTCTTCCTGTCCTTTGAGAAACCTGGGAAATAGAAAATCTTCCCACGGAAACTCCTCAGGGTCGCGCCAAGATCGAGGCTTGCGCACTGGGTCTCGGCCGATGGCACAGCCCCGGCTTGCAAGTCCGCGGGGTCTCCGGGCAGAAACCCAGCGCGGGCTTCTGGATAGACCGCGCGCGCGTGCGCGCTCCCCCTCGGCCCCCTACCCTGCAGCAAGGGGAGCGTGACGTATTGCAACCTCAGCAAGTCAGCCGCTATATAAAGGAGGACTAGGCGGCGCGCCTCTCAGACGCAGAGTAGCTTGTGATTGGCTCGAGCTGCGGAACCTCGGAAACCCGAATGTGAGGAGCTTACGGATCCACAGCTGCCGCCCCCCGCAGAAATCCGGAGCGCGGTCAGAAGCCAACTGGCGGTAGCGGCTGCAGGTAAGGAGACTCCTGAGGAGAAAGTACAGGGACTCGGGTCCGCTGCGCTCAGTGTCGTTAGCGTGAGTTGAGGAGAGGCTCCCACCCAGCGTGTAGTGTAGGACGAAGGGAACAATGGAAGTGGCGTCTAGTCCCTAAGCGTTCCCTCCCCCTCGGGCAGGCAGTGTTTCTCCTCAGCAGCTGCGGGTGGCTGGAGGAATTGAGAGAATTACTTCCCCTTCAGCCGATCCGTTCTTCCCCAAGGCCAGAGCCCCCGGGGGCGAGAGCCGTCGTGGAGGCCGTCGGTGGTTTAGGGTGACGGGAAAATGGCGGAAAACAAAACAGTGAAGTGAAGAATGCGGCGGCCCCCTGGCATTTTCTCTCGGCGATCCC